GATATAAAATCTTGTATTTTTGACTTTGCATAGTACCTCAATATTACTATTGTAAAATGTAACTTAGTGGCTGTGTTATTTTATTTTGATGTTTGAAAAGTAGAAAATTTTGATCAGCAATTTTCTATTTCAATTTCAAGTTTTGTTTATATCATATTTGTATCATTCTGGTGCATAAAGCACGTGTAGTGAACAAATGTTGGGTTGTGGATTCTAAGATCTTGAACAAAGACTGATTGAGAACGAGGACTTGAATTTTGTACAAAGACTGAGAGAAGAAATTAATTTTGTTTATTGGTAGAAAATATGAAAATGTGTTTAATATCACTGTACACTAACTCATATTTTCTTTGTTTTGAGTTACAAATAGAGTCAAGTCATTACTTTGTAACTTGTGCTTCAATGATGCATCAGCTGACCAGCGCTCATTCTTTCAAACTTGCGCAATTCCAAACCCCAATTTTTTGAATAAATATTTTATACTGACTATACTATAGGTTTCTTGATGTACCTCATTAAGATGATTTTCATTTTAATTTCATTCAGTTAATGTTTTTTGCTTAACGGTTTTTGCTTAGCGTTTTTTGCTTAACCACTTAAGTGGAAATTAAGTGTCCCATTCAATAAGCCACGTGGGATTAAATATGTTGATTGTGTGTCAAAACAAGGAAAAATTGTCCTGATAAAACTGGGAGAGGTGGCTCAGTGCATCAACTAATGTCACTGCAGTACCTCTGAACAGGAGGTCCTAGCTAGGTCGAATTCAGTCACTGTCTGGAGGAGAATTTTAGAAGCCAGCTGCTCTGGTCAGTAGTTTTCTGTGGTGTCTCCAATCAAAACCAGGTGAATACCAGAGCAATACCCTAACAAACAGGCCATGGACCACGCGTCATCTTTTCTCCCTCTTCGTCGTCCTATCCCCACACCATACACACTTACACAAACATGCACTACACTACCACACATGCCGGGAGACGAGTCATGAGCTGAGAGCTGGTCCTGACTGGGGCCGGTGCCTCACTGGTGGGAGATGCATGGTTTGGGAAACCCTTCCAGCTGGCAGGAAGTTGGTGCTGGATCTCGAATACCACCACCTCCCCAGAAAAAAGGAGTGCCCTTCACTTATAGCACTAATGACCTCAGTAGTGGATGCGACCGGAATCACTAACAACCAACCCATCTTGAGCTGGTTAAAGTTCATATTTACTTTGTCATATACTCCTATGTAGATTATTGTAATGCTATAATGAGAAATATTGATTTTGCAACACAAACGTGTTTTGTTGGTCTCTGGTACAACCTGGTTGGTCTCTGGTTGGTGGAAAAAAAGTGGATTTTTCTTGTTCCTACACTTAGTAATTTACTTTCTCCATTACTTTGTGTAGTCAGAATCCACATTTTGTGATCCTTGACACCTAAAAATTGGTTTTCAGCAAAACTTTTCTATCTGTTCATAACGCTAGTGCCTAAACAATACACAAGGTTTTCATTAAATTCAATATTTATTTATTTATTTATCTTTAACTTTTACTCATCTTTCAACGATTTTTAGTTAAAATGATGGGAAGGGATTCTGGAATTTCAGAAAATGTGCGCAGATGATTTTCTACCCCATATGTCACATACAGTTTTTACTGTTTTTTGACTAAATAAATCTAAATCTAGATATGCGATTGATCTGTCTGATGATGTGTCCCCTTCAATTTGAAAGTGATCTTTAAATTTTTGGAGATTCTTCTAATGAAGCCCCAACATTTTCAAATTTTGAATAAAGCAAACTACATTTATAAAAATGATGCACGACTGATATTTGTTCACAACTTTTTCTTCTGAAATATAAATGTGAATCATTTATATCAGTACTTTGACTTTGGCTTCAGAGATATTAGGTCATGTCACCTGCGGAACCAAAGTAGGTACCTATGTTTGTAGGTATTCAGCCCCTGCCAAATATTTATGTGGGTTGAAAACTCTTTTTGTAAGTTCAACTTATCTTATTATTACATAACAGCTACAAATAATATGAGAAAATATGTGCTCTTGTGGCTCCACTAGTTTTGTAGGAAGCCGTGTTATAACGTTTATCTTTATTATTAATGGAATCATTTATTATCTTATTTGTAGGCCCCACCCCCACCCCACCCCCCCCCACACACACTTAAAAATGGAGTCTGAAATTTCTGTATAATCAAAATTATTGTTTGATTCATTAAGAAAGAAAGTAAAGAATGTAGGGGGGAAAGAATGTAAGTCTTCTGTGTACTGAATTAGAATTCTTAATCAAACTTTACAAACAATGAGTGAACATGGTAAATGTAAAAAAGAAATGAAAAAAAAAGTAAGATTCAGTTTTTATGGGAAAAATAAAGAAAATAAAAACATTTGTAAAGACTGATTTCAGTAGTGGAGTATGAGAAATGTGTTACACTGTGTTCAGTATGAATCATTCTGCAAATTTACTGAATTTTTATGAACATTACCATTTGTAAAATGTCTCATCATCGTGCTTTCAAATTGAGCATAACAAAAGAAGTTCATATAGTGTTTTAACTTATTGGAAACTGATTTTGGCAGGGACAAAAAACCTTGGACTGGTTCGAGTGCTTCAGATTCTGAATAAATTGCTTGGATTTGCTTTAGTTCATCATCAGATACAAATAGTGAATCTGTAATGTGAGGTATGTGAAGAGCCTGATTAATTGTGTTTTTCGCACCACCCCAAGTTAATTTTTTACAAGGTTTTTTCCAACGCTACACATTTCTAACATCCTCTTTTCATGTTTGTTACTTCATTGCATTTCCAGTGTATTCAATCACAGTACTGAAGTATTACTGTGCTTAATCCCTTTCCTTATTACTATATTGAGAGTATGTCTGTTTGTGTTTTAACTTGAATTGTAAGGTCTGCCTTTAATACATATTTGCTGAAGTTAATTTCTTGTTTTGAGAATTTAAAAATATGCATGAGCTTGATAGAAAACAGTTGATATTAACAGTTCAGAAATGGACATTTTTATTAGAAAACGGTTAAGAATTGAATTATATTGGTTCAATTAAATTGATAATATAATTTCCTTGTTAATAAAACCAAGTTAAAAACATAACATATTTTCTATAATACAACTTTATTTAGGGTCTTGAAATGAATTGAACACTTAGTGGAAATATGTTTTTGATTTTTCTTTTTCTTTCTTTCTTTCTTTCTTTCTTTCTTTCTTTCTTTCTTTCTTTCTTTCTTTCTTTCCTTCTTTCTTTCTTTCTTTCTTTCTTTCTTTTTTTCTTTCTTTCTGTCTTTCTTTCATTCTTTCTTTCCTTCTTTCTTTCTTTTTTTCTTTCTTTCTTTCTTTCAAATATCATTTATACATCAACACAAACCACAAGTCGAAGAATTTTTCTTTGGGTGCAGCTTTCTTTCAATGAGGACATCTTCTATTATAAACAAGGTTTATTATGGAAAAAAAAAAATATTTTCATCAATTGCTTTCCTTAGGTATAAATGACTTCACGTACCAACCATTGTTGTCTCATTCCTCATAAATATGATCTTTGTTGATGAGTTAATGGAGGGAAATTGCTGTTAAAGATGTAATCTTGTACTTTGAAACTGATCCACATGATTTATTTCTAACATAATTCATTTATAGTTTTGTATTGTATATAAGAAACATTGTCAAAGTAATATTAAACTTGTTAAGTAAATAACTTTCCAAGAATTTGCTGATTTTGTAAGTGGTATTGAGATACCATAAAAAAGCGATTTTTTTATTATTTATGCTTGTTGCTCCTTGAGGCATGTTTTTTATAACCTTCAGTGTAATAAAATACTTGGCTTTTTGTGTTCCCTTTCTTGCATGTTCTTACACACAAAGGTATTCATTGGTTAGTTTCAACAGAAAATGTATGTCAAAAATAATATTTTGACCAGCTTATTTGTATTAATTTAGGGAAAGTATCAATTTTGAGGTCAATTTATTATTTAAAAAAATCCTAAAATATTTTCTCTCATTTGACCATTGTAATTTATTATCAATAATAAAGACATGATTCATTGTACAATAAAAATACATTTTGTGTGTGTGTGTGCAAAAAGAGGGCAATATTTTTGAGATATTACCAGTCTAATTTTAGCATCACTGTACATAGTACTTTTACTTTCAATACTTACCAGCATTTTTAATTTTTCCTAACATGAAATTGTTATATTAAAATTTTCAGCAATATGATCTTGTATTTTGTTATATTTTAAATGTAAATTCATTGTGTGCCTTTCAAAACAATCCACTTAGGTTATCCATAAATATTTATTTTCTCTTCGTTATCTTTCATTATTTCTTATAAATGAGTGTGTAAATGTTTTTTACTTATTATTATAACCTACCCAACTGTATTTGTGGCTTTCTTGTCCTCTGAGAAAAACAAAGTTCGTGGATTTTTTTGTAATATGTATAGGGAAAAATGATTTAATTGATCACTGATGGGTTAAGAAAATTGTACTATTCATTTTTGTGTATATATGTGCTCGGAGCATCTCAGAATAAATATTACAAACTTCTAAAGCATGTAGAGGGGTAATGAACTGATGGGAAAGGTCATATAATAAAGTTCCATGTCTTTTGCCAGTGAGGTAGGCAATTTCTCAATCATAAGTGTGCTGTAATCGTGGAGATTTCGTGTGCTAGCTGAATAGTGGTGTATTGGGAATCGTCGAGCAGTCAGGGGCAAATGACTCGTCTGTAACTTCATTATATGAAGTTTCTCACTGCATGTTCATTGGCAAAAAGTGATACCTCTACACACCCTAATAGTTTATAACATTTATTCTGAGATATCTGTACTTAATTTTGTGTATGTATGTAGGTATACATAATATTGGAAATTAAACTCAGTTGTATGTACTTTTGGTGGGAGGTATTCAGTTTTATGATATTGTATGAATAAGACGGGTAAGTTTTGCAATTTTGGTAAAACACAAAAACATTGAGAAATTGTGGATTTTTCAGTGTGTCTCAAGAACCTGAAGCTTCAGTTCAATCATACCATCCAGCCCTTTCGGTTTTACACGAGTCACCAGATGACATGCCTGCAGGTGAGAGAAAAAATGAATATGTCTTCTTTGTATTCAAATTATAGTGATTGTTTCTGCAATAACAAATTTTGTTGACAGCATCAGGAAACAGAATATGCTATGAAGATGAAATATCAGATGATGAAAATGGTGGAGATGCATTGGCTGTCCCAGTGGAAGAACATAAATCTGTTATATTACATCTTCTATCTCAACTAAAATTAGGCATGGACCTTACTCGTGTAGTGTTACCAACATTCATTTTAGAACGACGCTCTTTGTTGGAAATGTTTGCTGATTGCATGGGCCATCCTGATCTGTTTGTGAGGTTAGTACTGTAATGCAATGCAGGGACTTATTTTTAATATTGAAGATTGATAGCTGAAGGCATAGATTTAGTTATAAGTTAGACAATTTAAGTAAAGCTGTATGTAAATTATGTAGAATAACAGATGAACCTTCACCTAAGGAGCGCATGATGGCTATGGTTGAATGGTATCTAACATCCTTCCACATGGGTCGCAATGGTTCTGTAGCAAAGAAGCCCTATAACCCAATTATTGGTGAAACATTCCATTGTTCCTGGGCATTGCCCACATCTTCTAGCAATGATAAAGATGATAACAAAGATGTCCGTATATCTTACACTGCTGAGCAAGTTTCTCATCATCCACCAGGTGTGTTTTAAAAATTCTAAACTACCGTATTTACCAGAATATAAGAATAGGTATTTTCCTGAATTAAAAAATCACGGGGTTGTATTTATATTTGCAGATTAAGCCGTTTCAGTTCGAATCAATGTCTTTACACTGGCTTTCCATATTAAGAAACTCAAATTTTGATGTAACAATAAGCTGTCTTGCAAGCGAGCAAGCATGCATGCATGCATACAGACAAGTAATTTTGTATCAGCAATGTAGATGTAAAACTTGTACACATTAATGAAATCGTAAGTCATCCGATAAATACTGTCTGAATGTATTCTTTGTATCCACCTTCAATTTTACCAAGCAATTTAGATCAATATTTTTTAATGAGCTGATAAAGAGAGAATCTCAAATATGGCTTTGTAGTAAAGAACTGAATGAAAATTATTGCTGAGATTTTGTTGCAAGATCAACAAGGCCATGTGGTGTCTCAGTTCAACACCTGGCAAAAGCACACCTGCGTCTTGCCAGAGATCAAAATGAAAAAAATCACCCCATAAAAAGTGTGCGTTCTACATTGAACCAGTACACGCAGTGATTAAAAAAATTTCCTTTGTAAAAAAAAAAGTCTGTAACTGCTGTTCTCTTTCATGTTATTCATAGAAAAGGTATAGGGATATATGAATTTGCAATTCATAACTTGACCATGCCAATTTAAAATTCATGGTTGTTTAAGAAGCAAAGATCACTGACAAGTGTGGGGGCAAGAAAAAAAAAATCTTCTCAGAGAAGGTAATGGTTTCAGGTGGTATCAATGAAAGATTAAAAATGCAAATTCTACTTTTGAGGAGTCAATAATTCAGAAAGTGACGTAGTGTGAGAGGAAATCCAGATAGAAAGAAAGAAAGAAAGAAAGAAAGATAGAAAGAGAGAAAAACAAACAATAACAATGCATGTGAAGATGAAAATGGTAGTAATCAAATAATGGTGATTTTAATTGTCAAGAAGATGAGGGCTTAGGCAATAAACATTTCTCATCAACAAGATAATTTGCTAGTAAATTAGGCAATTTGCTATTTTATTTTGACTCTGTAATAAGAATTAGTTAATTGTGAAAAAATTCTCAGATGGTTTCAATTAAGGGGTTGTCATATTCAGAGAATCTTATATTCGGATAAATACGGTATGTGTTTTCTTATTAAATTTTGATGTGTAAGTTATTAATTGTACTTATGTTGCAGTTACTGCCTTTTACGTGGAGTGCCCAGAGAAGAAAATGTGTGTTAATGCATCTATTTGGACAAAATCTAACTTTTCAGGAGTTTCTGTAGGTGTCAGTATGATAGGTGATATAAGCCTTTATTTAGGAAATCATGGAGAAAGATATGATTTCACGCTGCCTTCTGCGTATGCACGATCTATTATTTCGGTTCCTTGGGTTGAATTAGGGGGTAAAGTAACCATTAATTGTGCAAAAACTGGGTATTCTGCAAATATCATCTTTCATACTAAGGTATGGTTATGTTAAAGTAGATTTTGCATGGATATTCACGCGTGGAGATCACTGCATAATATAAATAATTCAATTTTTCAGCCTTTTTATGGAGGTAAAGTTCATCAAGTTACTGCAGAAGTAAAGAATGATGGTAGTTCTAATATCTGCAAAATACAAGGAGAGTGGAATAGTCATTTTGAGTTTACATATCCACATGTAAGTTAACATTTACAATTTTAATTTTTATGATGAAAAATAATTCTTGAAATGATGAAAATGAATTGCATAAAATGAACAGAATGATTAAAAACCTATGATCGTTACTGCCCTAAATATATTTTGATATGATTTCTGATTAGCTTCTTTTTGTCATAGTATTTTTTACAAAAGTTATTGAAGGCATTATTGGATGGAATCTGAAATTAGGTTTTGAATTGTAGTACAAGTAAAGATTTGTAAATTCATAAATCATATTATCAATTAATAAATCTTTACTCGTACTACAATTCAAAACCTACATTGCAGAAAGCTTTTAAGTATTTATGCTGGTAGACTACAAGAGCAAATGTTAATTTTCAATATTCCTGTTTGAGGTATTGCACTGTTTCACTAATTGCTGTGTTATTTCCTGTGCTTGCAACAAATTTATTTTTGCAACTATTCTGTGCTACTGCTTGCATGAAAATACGTTTTGGTGGTGATTGCTGGCATGTAAAGATTACCATAAACATGTTCTCATGCAGTAAATCGTGAAGACATAGCAGATGAGTACTTAAGAAATTATTTTTTTAAAACCTGTTTCCTATCTGATAGATTTGCTGTACATGTAATGAATTCAAAATAACTAGTACCTATTTCAAATATAGAGATATCCACGGATTTAAATGGGAGTCTGTCCATGTCAAATCAGACTGGCATGAAACATGACATTTACTACTTAAGTTGCTGAATATTTTTCAACAAATGCTACTTGTTAAAAGTAAATATTTGTTGGTTTGTATAAATTAGTATTATAATTTTAGAATTTTAATTTAAACAAATTTGTGAGAAAACTCAAGTAATTGTAAATTAATTGAATTAATAAGCAAGTTAAAGTATTAACTACACTTTTCTGTTTCTCACATTTTATATCTAAAAAGTATGTAATTCACGCATTTCATAGATTTGAATGCTTCTCTCTTTTATTTACTACTAATGGATCCGTCAATGCTTCGCTATTACAGTGTATTATTCAACTGGTCATGTGATTTTTAATCACAATTTTATGCTATGCTATGTAAAAATTCTTATAGATGAATGTCTTTCTTGCAAGTACAGGGATGTTGTACATCCTGATTTAAATATTGTTGTCGAGGATTGACCAAATTGAATTGTATGTCAGGAAGAGGCCGTGCGAACAACCTAAATTGTTTTTGTTATGCATGAGGAAATTATGTGATCAGCAGAAAAGGAGTATTTCCTCAATGGTCAAAAGATTGTACCTTGCCTATTTTAAAGTAAAATTGGGAGATGAGGACAAAACATTTGCTCCACTTATGATTTGTAAAACTTGTTTGGAAAATTTAAGGCAGTGATATGATGGACGTTGTTTATCTATGCCGTTTGGGGTCCAAATTGAAAGAAAACACTTTTTTAGAAACAAGAACTACTTTCTAGCGATAGTCATTGTTGGTGTAGTCAGGTGTAGACATTGGGAACAAGAACTTGCAGAATATTTTGCAAAAGAAGGGAAACTTGTGTTCTGTTCAGATATTCCTGGCTTGAGTGGTCACCTAGGAAAAACATAAATCAGAGAGTATGCGTTTTTTACTGACTGTTAAAAGAAGTGTAAAATACATAATGGGGAATGAGCTGTCTCCAGTTCCAATAGCTCATTTTACATCTATCAAGGAAACTTATCAAAATTTGTATAATATTATAGAAAATTGAAATATAATGGACAGGCAACTGGGCAACTGGGATAGTACACCAAATTTCCGATTTCTTATGTGAATGGGGGTGCCAGAGAAAGATACTGGGTTAAGAAGAATGTTAGTTCCAGGAACAAAAATTTTATTAATTGACCCCTCATTGACAAAGAGAACAGCTTAAAAAATGAGTCTCACATTCAACAAAGCAGCTGAAGGGTGTTGTGTGGTTTAACAAAATTAAATTTGAAGATTTAGATACAATCTGTGATAATTTGATTCAGACATTGAAAGAAACGTATCAAGCTCATATACCTTCAGAATTATGCAAAGAAATATTTGATGCTCAAATTTTGTCATTTATTCACAGTGCATCGAATAAAAATGAAGGTAACTCAGTTGAAGAATATACAATTTTTCACAAAATTCTGTTGTTTTCTAGCAAAGTGCCTTCTGAGAGAATGTATTGGAGCCAAGACACTGATGTAGGATGTCCAGTTGTAAAGATTGCAATGAGTTGCTACAGGTACTTGAAAATAAAATCTATGATTCATTTTCAAAACAATGAGCTTGCAAGTTAGGCCTGTTATGATATTATTCGAGCTAACTTTCAAAAATTTGTTATTTTTGAACCAAATCTTGATGTAGATGAAATGATGATAAACTTCTTTGGACAAAATTATCTAAAACAGTTTATTTGTGGAAAGCCAATCTACTTTGGCTATAATTGGCATTTTGTGGATCATTAGGATACTGCTGCAATTTCAATCTTTATGGTGGTTGTGATATTGTAGATGGAGATTTGAATGAACTAACTTTATTTCGAAAGCGGTGCTATGTTAGAGTGAGTCTCATCACCACAAAAGCACGTGATTGCTGACCATGGTTTCAGGGCAGCGGAAATGCTTTGTGAAAATCACATGAAGAAATGTCCCATTGAGAATGCGAAAGTTCTAAAGGGAAAACCAAGAGGACTGTTAGATTATAATTTCAATCAGTGGTGAGATCTGTTTTGTCAGGTGGAATGACACCAGGTGTGTCCCTGTTGCTAGTAAATTTGATAGTTTCTCCAACAAAATCTGTGCTTCGGTATGTGAAACAAGAAAAGAAAACTCTCTTCTTCAACCAAACTTGATACACGAATACTATGCAGGAATGGGTGGTGTAGGTCTACACAACTGGTTGGTTGGAAAGGTAAAACGTGGTATTGGCCCATCTTCCTATGACTTTTAGACATAACTAATAAATTACTGGTTGCTGTACAGGCAAATGCAAGGCTCAAAAACTCCTTGACTGATGTATTGTTGGCTATCCGGGATGAGCCGCCTCTCAGTTGATTGGACTGACGTTTCGGCCATCTTACTGTGGCCTTCTTCAGAGCTATACTGCTGCCAATAAGTTGGCGTGTCTCATCTAGGAATGGCGCGTGGGCCGACTGGGTGCAGCGGCGGCCAGTAGGAGGTGGGCGGGTGTCCCGTGATTGGCGGAGAAGGAAAAGGGGGCGATGGCGGGTGACCAGCTGAGATTGGGGAGGGGGAGTGGGGCGGAAGGATAGAAAATAGAAAACTGAACAGGATAGACACCTGGAAGATGCATTTGTGTGGAAGGGAACGGCGGAAATATCGAAAAAAGGATGGTCCAACGGGCGGCCACGTCATTGGCCGTCCGCTGGGGTGGGGGGGTGTCTCCGCGGGGCGGGACCGGATTGGCGGGGTCAACGGCCCGTCTCCAGGGGTTGCTGAGACGGAGCCCATCATCTCTATTGAGGTTTGCGGGCCTCCTGGAGATTTCCAAAGCCTCTTTGATCAATCGACGCCACCACCGGTCTTCTGTTGTTATGGTGCGGCTTTCGTGGTAATTGACAAGGTGACCCGTTTTGGCGGCGTGTTGTGCCAAGGCCGATTTGTGGATATGTTGAAGCCGGTCATGTCGCATGTGCTCCCGCATACGCTCTTCTACGGTGCGCCCGGTTTCTCCGATGTAAACTAGACCACAGCTGCACGGGATCCTTGACTGATGGAATGCAGAAGACATATCACGATTGCACTACTGACAGTTAGTCCATAATGAGCTCATGCTGCAAATGCCTCACATGCAATTCCTGATTGCAGATATGAAGGCACCAGCCATAACAATTAGGGAAAAACAGCACAGGTGCCAAGCAGAGAACTGCGAAAGGACTCCCCTCACTTATTGCATGAAATGCAAAGTCACATTGTGGGTAGAATATTTTTGTTGCTACCATACTCGTTAGCATAAGTCTAAAATGAATTAACATAGTATTTAATAATGACATTTATCGGTTGTTCCTAACCTCAATGTGTCAAGAAAACTTCACAGGTGTCTGGGGAGGATATGTCGAAACTTCACCGATAAACTCTTAAGACAAAGCATATTTTCTCTAATAAACTATTTGGATATTCTGAATGGTTGAGCCGCAATGAGTACTCAAAAGATGGTTTGAAAAAAAGCTTTCTAGGCAAACATTTGCATTGTAGTAGCATAGAAATAGCACAGAAACGTGTAAATTGTTTATCATTAGAAAAGGAGTCTGTTTAGAAAGAAAAATTTTGGCAGAAATAAAAGCACCCTATTTACACAAAATATGATTTTTTTATTTGTGGATTAATTTTTCTTTCTAAAGAAATATATTCATTTCTTTTATAAATAATTACCAGTTTACATTTTCTAGTGTGTTTCTATGCTTCTGGAATATAAATTTTTGCTTTGAAAGCATTTTTCAAAACAGCTTTTGAGTGCTTAGAGTGGCTTATTCCTTCGGAATATCCAAGTAGTTTAATACACAAAATATGCTTTAAATTGTCTTAAGAGTTTATCTGCGAAGTTTCGACATTTTCTCCCCGGACACTCTGTATATATTTTTGGCGCAATGATGTTTTAAATTTTGTATCATACTGTGAAATCCTTGAAATGTTATTAAGGGTATACTTCTTCCAATGTTGTCGTATGATGAGCTTCTCCGAGCCAATAAAAGATCTCAGAGCTATAATTACATTGGATTATCATTTCTTCATAATTGAAGACTAAACTCTTAAATTGGATGTTAAAAAGAGAGAGAGAGCGAGTGAAGCAGAGAGCGAGTGTGTGTGCTGTGAATGTTTTGCTGTTACTTTCTTCGCTTGTTGCCTGTGTAGACAGTACTCCCAGTGAGTCAGAGTATTTCCAAAACGTATAACAATCTCAAAATTTATAAATATTTTCTTAGATGCTGCTTTACCACTGCGCTTGGTATGATTACAAGAAGAATGAACATATTTCAACCACAGTTCCTGAAAAACAATGAATTTG